GTTAAGGTTAAGTTAAGTTAACGTTAGGTTAACGTTACGTTAAGTAAGTTAGTACGTAGTAAGTAAGTTAGTACGTAGAGTAGAGAGAGAGAGAGAGAGAGAGAGAGAGAGAGAGAGAGAGAGAGAGAGAAACTATAATTTTGGAAGGTATATATAATTTTTCTATAATTAAATGCACTTGAAAATACAAGGTTAATATCATAATGGGTTGTGTATGTGATCTTATTTTTTAAAAGTTACTTTTTGTGGCGGTTTTGTCATTATGTAAGGGTGTATGAGTAATTATTACTAAAGGATAATACGTACTTTTATCGTATTTATAAGGACAAAGTTAAAACATTTACTACACGACAGAGGTCTCCACTTTTTATTGTTTTAATTTTTCAATTTACTTTTTATTCCCTAATTTTTAAATATTTTTATTCGCTGGTTCACTTGTTCGGATCGCCACTCCAAACTGTTGATCTGCCAAACCGACTGATTTCGAGCTATTTAGGTCACTGGTTCGTATTTTTAAACCTTGGTTGCCATGATTCTATACTTGATGTTCAAATCCTAGAGTTGTTAGAATCAATGCTATGTATTTGGGACCAAGGCCCAAAATTTCTTGCTTGTAGCTAACTATTAGTCAATCGGAGTGGGCTTAAGTTAGCCCAAGGGCTAGTCGCACGTAGCCCACTTGCATCTCTACCTTAATTTTTTTCTTTTTTTTAGCATTAACTTCCATTAAAAAAAGTAAAGCTTAGAGTTACAGTTCTTACAAAGAACGTAACAAAAAGAAAGGCAAGGGGAAAAGGGAGAGAGGAGAGGGAAGAGAGGAGGGAGAAGAGGAAGGGGAGGGAGAAAGGGAGAAGAAGAGGGGGAGAGGGAAGAGAGGAGAGACAAGAGGAAGGGGAGGGAGAAAGGGAGAAGAAGAGGGGGAGGGTTAAGAAAGAAGGTGAGCTAAGGCATCTGCAGCGCCATTTTTCTCTCGGTTAATATAACAGAAGAGAACCTCTTTTCCTAGAATAGCCAGCTAGATTTCGTCCATAACAAAAGTCCAATGCCAAAGAGTGGAAATGGGGTGCTCACACCAATTTATCACATTTGTAGAGTCTCCATCAATAATAATCTGCCACTGGTCATCATTGAATCTTGTCACTCCTTCCCTAGCTGCCCAGAGTTCAGCTTCATTAATATCACAAAATACCAGTGAGCCGCTGTAGGAGAAGATAGTTTCACCAGGGTGATTGCGCAAAATCCCCCCAAACCTGTGATCTGACGAAATTAAGTTTCAACCATCCTGTAGGGGGCAGAGAGTAGCAGGTAGATTTGATAACTTCTTAGGTGTGAGAAGTAAGAGATCAGATAACCTCGAAATGAATAGCTCTTTGGGATAGCAAGTGAGGTTCATGAGGGAATGAGCCCAATGAATTGTTCCTCTCACAACTTGTTATTTGATGAAGTTGGCATCGTTTGCCTCTCCTTCGAAACTTCGTAAATTCATCTCCTTCCAAACAAACCACAAAATAGCAACTACCAGGATCCTCCACAACCCTTTATAGGGAATGGGGGTTGGAAAATCATTGACAAGAAACCATGTAGTCTTTCTGGCATAACCCATTTCCAATTCGATAGGGCAGCAACCCAATTCCAAATAGAACTTACAAAAGAGCAATGGAGGATGAGATGATTGCCATCCTCTGTGTCCAGCTTACATAAAATACATACATTCACCAATATCTTCCCACTTTTTCTATGCTGGTCCGTTAACACATTTTCCTACTCCAACAACCACAAGAAAGCTCTGACTCTAAGAGGAACCTTAATAGACTACATCTTGGTCAATCAATTTATGGGGTTGAAAACTGTCATTATTGAGTTCATTATAGAGGGATTTGACAGAGAAAGAGCCATTTGTTGTTAGTTCCCATTTGAATCCATCATCCCTTCCAGGGAACAAAACAAAAGAGTCCAACATCTATAAGAGAGACATGTATTGTTACTTAGTAGTGAGATCTATTCTTCTATTTCTCAAAACAATATTCCAAATGCAACCTGTGCCTTCTCCATCCACCATTTCTTATACTGTCGCTTTTTTAGACACGACGAGCTTAAAGAGTTCTGGTTGACTTGCTTTGAGAGGCATATTCCATAACCATTTCATTAGCCAGAACTTTGTTGAATGACCATTCTCAATCTTTTTTCTAGCATATGTCAGGAAGAGTCCCCTAACTGAATCGATCCCTTTCCATATAGAGGAAGCTGACCTGTCTATAAGTAATCTTTTGGTAAACTGCCCAGCTTGGTCAACTCCAATTTGGCCAGGATTATATCTTGCCATTGCATTCTGGACTCTGAACGAACCCTCCACCACTATTTTGTTAGGAGTGTATCATTGAAGTGTTTTAGCCTCCGAATACCTAAACCCCCTCTCCCTTAGGACGACAAACACTTTCCCATTTAACCAGGTTGTACTTATGCTGCTTTGAGGAGCCACTCTATAAGAAGTACCTCATCAATTTTTCCAATTTATTAAGTACTGCAGCAGGAACTCTGAAGAGGGAGAGAAAATAGATTGGCAAGTTAGCCATTGTAGAGGTTATCAGGGTAATCCTTCACCCAGATAAAGATATCTGCTTTTCTACCCATCCGGTTTGTGTTCTGCTCTCTGGATGAGAGGATCCTTGGTAGTTATAGGCAATCTCCCATTAATAAGTGGAACCCCCAGGTAGGGTGAAGGGAGGAACTTGAGACCACATCCTAACCATGCTGCCCATCTTCTCAAATCCTCATTTCTACAGTTTATCCCAATGAGTTTAGACTTAGATAAATTTATCTTTGCCCCTTAAATCAGCTCATAACACTTACGAAACAACTAGATACTCTGAATCTAACCAATAGGGACATCAGATAACAAGAGGGTATCATCAACATATTGGAGATGGGATATAGGATTCCCATAGCCTCGGATCTTCCATCCTTTAATAACATTGGCCTCAATAGCATTCCTCATCATAATGCTAAAAGAATCTCCTATCAAAGTAGATAGATATGGGGGCAGAGGATCTCCCAGTTTATGTCCTCTTGTGGCCCTGAAATAACCGCAATCCATGTCATTGATTAAGACTGGGAAGTGAGATGAAACCAGACATCCCTTAATCCACCGCCTCCATCTTAGTCAAAATCCCATTAGTCTCATGAAGTCATCTAAATATCTCCACTCAACTCGACCATAAGCCTTTTCAAAATCCAATTTTCACATAATCCTTGAACCACTTTGACTCCTATTTGAGTGGATCACTTCATGAGCAATCAAAATACCATATGTAATATGTCTTCCTTTAATAAAGGCTGATTGGGGGCCTTGTACAACCTTGGTGATGGCTTTTTTCAATTTATTGGCAAGGACTTTAGCTTATATCTTGTACACCGAAGTCAGAAGACTGATAGGCCGAATATCTTGTAAGGTTTCTATCTGATGTTTCTCAAGTACAAGGGTTATAAAGATGGAGTTCAGAGCTTTATTCATAGTAGCATTATTGTAGAATTCATCAAAGAAAAACAATTAAGTCTTCCGTCGTTATGTCCCAGAATTCTTCAAAGAAAGAAACTTGAAATCCATCAAGACATGGGACTTTATCTCTGGGAAGGGAAAAAACTGCTTCCCTAATTCCTTTCATCGTGAAAGGTATCTCCAAGTGTGATTCAGTTCCAGTTTCTACTTGTTTGAAAAGTAAGGTCTTCTGTTGAAAAAGGAAGCCTTTCATGAGAAGAAAAGGCTTTCTCAAAGAATTGCACGATGTAAGACTCCCTACCCTCTCGGTCTCCCTCACTGATACAAGGGATAGTAATACCATCCAAGTTATTAGTTCTTCTAGAATTTACAATAGCATGAAAGTATTTGGTGTTGTTGTCCCCATCCTTAATCCATTTTGATCAAGACCTTTGATACCATAATATTTCCTGAGCCTTTAATTTTTTATTAAATTCGTATCGTATCAAGTCTCTAGGAGCCTTTTGATCTGGGGTAAGGTCCCCTTGTGACTGTTCTAATTGGTTTAGAGCATTGAGACGTCTCTCAAATTGATTTACTCTTGCTGTTATATGCCAAAAATTCATGTTAGCCCAATCTTTTAGCCTGTGATTTAGCACCATAAGTTTTCATGCCAAAACGAATCCACCGCATTCTTGAACAATTGTGTTTTGCCATACCAAAAGCACTTCCGAGTGCAAAGTTTTGTTTTCCAACCACATGAGTTCAAATCTAAATGGTGATGGCTCAAAAGAGCCTCCAAGAATATCTAGTACCATTGGAGCATGATCTGAGGATGTGTGGTAATACTTTGACAAAGGCTTTTGGGAAGAGAGAGTCCCAGCTGTTATTAATAAAACTGATCTATTCTTGAAAGCAGGGGTTTACTATTTGGATGGATATTGTATACACTAATTGTTATGGATACCAAAAACGTACAATTATTGTACGCAACATTCTCAAGTTGCCACCATTGCAACATATGGTGGATGTTGCATACACTAATTACACCTTTCTAGTGTCCATAACATAGTGGTCACAATTATTTTTGTCCCTTCAATTTCAAAATCGGTGGTTGTAAGAGTGTCATTGGATAGACCAAAGTTCCAAAAAAGAATTATCGGACTTCGGGACTCACCTAAGCCATCCAACGACCTCTCGACAAAGGAATGGACAAAAAGGAGCAGAGAACATCTAATGCGTGGGAATAATTGTGACTTTCATGTACAAATCATAAACGGTCTCTACATGGACAATCCCTACAAATCAGAAACGGTCTCTACATGGACAATCCCTTAATCTAATGAATGTCTACAAAATGGACTTTGACGAACAACACATGAGCGGTCTTCGTGCTCAAATGTTGCAATTGCATGTTATTCTATATTCTTTTTCAAAAGGAATAGGACCTGCATTTTTCTCTATCACGCATCATGCAATCCATTGTTACCGCTAATGTCAAATGAAGCCTAAACTATGTTGGGGGACATTATGAGATGGGAAAAGCCATTTACCAATTTTATCGTATGTTCCCGAATGTAAAATGGGAAAAAAAGTTCATTTTTTTTAGATACGAATATATCCAGTCCCTCACACTAATTTGATGAGAATTAGAGTAAAATGGAAAAAAAAAATGCATTTTTTTTAGATACAAACATATCTAATCCCTCACACTAATTTACTAAGAATTAGTAGTGGCAATTGGGTTGGGTAAACATGCCGATCGAGCGGATCGATCTGAACTGGGTTCGGGTTCAGGTCCAAGAAGCGACCAGGTTGAAATGACTTGTTGGGGTTGAACCCACTATACACGTTTGGTATATATAAGAATGAAAAGCATAAAATAATTTTTTCTATTCTTTTCTTTCTAGACTCGGTCCAAATCTGATGCCGTGAGTCAGGTCTGTGTCGAAATGACTTGGACCCAACCTGTGGTCGAGTCCATGTCATTATGTATTTATTTATGTGATGTTGTTTATATAAGGTTGCAATCTCCAAAACAATCATTTCATTTACAATCATTTCATTTGGACATTATTAAACGGTGGCGCATCTTTTAAAATAGTGGCTCACAAAACACAATCTATTCTCAAACTTTTAATATTTGTAATTTCTAAAAACCTTTATTTGAAATTCTTGGTTTAATATTTGTAATTTCTAAAAAAAAGTTATTTGAAATTCTTGGTACTGCAAGAAGAATGGTAGAATGTCCGGCCGCTCTCCTTGTTATTGGGTAGTCATATGACCCACTTTTATGGCCCACCACATGTGACCATCTTTTATGGCCTGCCTGCCACCATGAACCTTCCAAGTTCAAATCTTTCTATAGCCTTCTTCTTATGAACCTCAAACACGCCAACCTTGTCCTCCTATCGAATTTGGTCTCTCTTTTGTGGATTTATTAAGTCTCTCATCTCTACCCCGTACGTCCTTTAATTATTTGGAAGGATAATGATCAAGGTCTCTTATTCCCATATATGTCCCATAACCAAGGCAATTTCTCTCTAACCTAAAATATAAAGGGAAAGTATGGAATATGACCATCTACCTTTGATACAAGGTGGTCACATTAATTTTGATCATTGGATCTAAAATTGGGTGATTACAATTATTTCATTGACAAAACTCAAACTTCAATTTTTTTTTTTCGAACTTTGTAACACATCCAAGCTATCAAATTTCACATCAAATGGTTGTAAGGAATTGTAACCACCTTATACCAAAGGTAAATGGATCTCATTGTATACAATCC